CTCAGATAGCTTTGCTCATGACTTGAGCTATTATTGCTTGTGTTTTGGAAAAATGATCAAAATGTCTTTCAACAAAGTCCATGCTCAATAATCCAGGTATACAATCCAACATTTTTCAGATTTAAAATGTTAAAATGTTTAAAATGACTTTCAGTTCATCATAAAGGTTTATTGCTTACTAATATGTATATATAGACTTAAGACTTCAAATATTGTCAGCTAACAAGAAGTCGCCTACAATAAATGACCCTGTAGAAATAACGGCCCGATTTGTGTCTTACAGACAAACTCACAAACTGAATTTCTTCACGTGCTGTGAGGGTGTTTGTGGTCTTCTTCACTCCTGTGCATCTGAACTGTCTGGGGATATACAAACTCTTACAGTGCTTGCTAACTGTTTTAGTTTAGATCTAATTAAAGATCCTTATCCCGTATCATCGATAAGTAACAATCAGTGACAATTAGATGTGCTCCAGTTGTTTTAGAGTGCAACAAGCCTTGTGGCAGCTCATGTTATCAAGATAAGTAAATCAGTTCAAGTCTAGTGCTGAAGCTTGGAGGTCTGTGTGTGTGTGTGTGTGTGTGTGTGTCCTTGTTTATGCTACTTTGTGAGGCCCATTTTTCTAACTTATACTACATTGTGAGGACCAACTGCTCCTTATGGGGCCCAAAGCCCGGGTCCCATAAGAAGAAGTCCCGTTGGTGGGTTAGGGGCTAGGTTTAGGACTAAGGTGTGAATTGAGGATGTGTTAGGTTTAGGGTTAGGTATGTACTGGTAATGGTTAGGTTATGGATAAAGGTCATGGTTAGGCTATAGAAATGAATGAAAAATGAATGGAAGTCAATGCAAAGGCCCCACAAAGATAGCAAAACAAACCTGTGTATGTGTGTGTGTGTGTGTGTGTGTGTGTGTGTGTGTGTGTGTGTGTGTGCGTGTGTGTTGAGTAGAGTAGGAACTCCCTGGGTGATCAGGCCTGGACGGCTGCCCGTTGTCGAAGATCTTTGATGATTATTGTGAAAATTATTTGCAGATTGCAGTGCATTCTGGATCCCAACAAACTACTTGTGGGACTTAGTATAAGGCATTTGTCTTCATGAACTCTACAGATTTATTTAAAAAGGTGTATTTTTTAAAATGGAGTTAATTACTAACTGATGTCAAAGTCTATGAGAATTCTTGTTTTCTCACCTCCTTCACAGGACTTTTCAGCCTGCTGCACATTCAGCTGAAATAAGATAAATCAGTGATAAACACATGAGGAAAAAAACATCTCCTAGTGAAGATGTGTCCAATTTCACCCTAAATGAGCATCAGTTAAAAAAAAAAATGTTTTACACCCTTAGCTTCTTCTTCAATCGTGCATCATTTTATCATGTTTACAACTTGGTCATAAAAGTTTGCAGAGTAGAAATTACTACCCAAACTGTGATTCTGCTGCCTCATTCAGAGTTAAGCTTTCCTCCATTAAGAAGGATCATCCTAATTAAACATTGTGGAAATAACTGGAACGCACTCTCCTTTTAGTTTGCTTTATTATGGCTTGCATGGAGTCAATTAAGACAATTAAAACAGTCAATTTACTCTTTGGCTAAAATCCTTTGACACCAACTTTTCTTTAATTTATCCAAATATAAATTCAGCCAATTGATGTATCAATTTGAACTGTACTCTTTTTTTCTAATGCGAATTAAAGTCAATAACTTGCGTGCAAAATAAATGGAAAGCCATAAAGAAACCATCTAAAAAGATTTATTTTGAAGGCTTCTAAGTTTTACTGTGGATTTTTAAATAAAAAGGAACCCCAAACTATCAGAAATATTTAACAGGAAACATTATTGTAGCTTTGAAAGCATGCATTTTATGCCTTGCCCTAAAATAAAGGGTTGCATTTGTGCAAGTTTTTTTTTTAAATTACGAGTTCAGTGAAACAGATAATTAAATAAATAAATAATTAAAACATTCGTGACAAATCATAACAGTCCGTTGTTAGATTCAATCTTTTCGATTACTCTCCAGTCTTTAGGGGCACAAATAAAAGCTACATTTTAATGGTGATCTATTCAGGGTGTTCTTGGCATCTCACACACAGACAGACCCTGAATGAAAAACCAAAGCAATTAAATGAATTAAAGGAATGGTTGGCTAATTTTATAGGACTTTTGTTCATTCAAGGAAAAAGTATCTATATCCTCACTCCTATTTAAAAACATAATTTCTGGATACAAAGTATCAAAACTACATGTCAAACCATATCACTGCTTTCCTTTGTCTTAGAATGACTGCTGTATTTTTCTGCATTTACAGTCTATGCAGCACAGTACTAGTACTTAACTCACTTAATGTTTAGCATACCTTCCAGATGAGCAGGCAGGGATTATGTTGACACTATAGTTTTTTTTCTATTGATGACACCTGTGCTCATGACAAGTAGGTGTATTGTAATAACTGTGTTATCCTGAGCAAACACACACCTTGACACTAAACCTCTAAAAAGAGAGAGGGAGAGATTAATGTTTTAACCTGTCAACCTGTAGCTTTCAATCCTCTTAGGTAACTAGAATCCATACAATCACATCTGCTGAAGAACATTGCTTTCAAGGTGAAAAAAACAAACATATCCTATATCAGTTTATTGGAACTGGACTCAATGCATTTCTTTTTTCTGGGTCCAACTTCAATGTTCTAATCTTTAGTCAATGTGACCTCACGTTCACTTGAGATCAGCTTGTCCCAAAGAAAGAGTGAACCACATTGTCTCTGTGTTTATATAATAGCCAAGTTCATTTCAAAATCCATTCCTGTGTTAATTACAGTGTCCCGGCTTTAAAAAATGGGATCAGTAAGGTAACCCCACCCTGCAATTCAGAGCCAGAACTGTCACTGTAGGTTATCTACATGGTCAGTATAAACTTTGATTTGACACACACACACATATCAAGAACTTAAAGCAACACTTTACATCTTCTCAAGTGGAATAATATAGAAAGGTTATAATCGGTAATGTCTAATCTGTTGCAAATACTTCAGCTCTTTGAAAGTTTGGGGACATACTGACGGGCTTACTGCAAGATGAAGATCAAAGAAGATTTCTGTCATCGCAAAGCAACACGAGATGTTAAAAGATTTTAAATTACTTAGCATATATGCATTGTTGCTATATACATATATATACTGATTGTAAGCCTTTACATAACTGTCAATTTTAAATTAAATTGTTATCATCCATCCATTTTCTTTACCCACTTCTCATTTCTGGGTTGTGGGGGAGCTGGTGCTTATCTCTAGCAGTCGAGAGGTTCATCTCAGGGCCACACAGAGACAAACAACCATTCACACTCCCACTCACACAAAGAGACAATTTACAGTTATCAATTAACTGAACATCTATGTTTTTGATCTGTGAGAGGAAACTGGAGTGCCAGGAGAAAACCAACTTATGCACTTGGACAACATGCAGACTTGACACAGAAAATCCCCAGTCCAGAGGCGAACGTTTATCTTGCTGAGAGGCAACGGCTTTGGCGACAGCTCTAACCACTGCTGTACCGTGTTGCTGTTGGTATTTACTTTTTGCATGATCACATAGCAGCAGCACTTCCTGTGAGCTACCAGCACTTCTTGCAGTAATATGATCATATTTCTACCAGACTGACTATGTAAAGCAGTCTTCCATCCATCCATCCATCCATCCATCCGTCCATCCGTCCGTCCGTCCGTCCGTCCGTCCGTCCGTCCGTCCGTCCGTCCGTCCGTCCGTCCGTCCGTCCGTCCGTCCGTCCGTGGGGGTCACTGGTGCTCATATCCAGCTATCACTGTTCGAGAAGCGGAGGACACCCTGGACAGGTCTCAGTCCATCACAGGACACATAGAGACAAACAAGACAAACAACCATTCACTCTCTCACTCACACCTAGGGACAATTTAGAGTTACCAATCAGCCTAACATGCATGTTTTTGGTCTGTGGGAGGAAACTGGAGTACCTGGAGAAAACGCACACATGCACGAAGAGAACATGCAAACTCCACCCGTAAAGTCCTCCAGCCAGGATTTGATCTAGCAACCTTCTCACTTAGAGGCAACAGCTTTACCAACTGAGCCACCATGCAGCCTTAAAGCAATCTTGATTTATTTATTTATTAGTTTTTCAAAATTGATGTTTCGGTTTTGAACTAGTTCGCTGTGGTCCTGATTATTAATGAAAATAAATTAAGTCTATTTCTCGAAAAATAAGCTCTTTCAAGCAGCAGTTTAAAACACATCAGATAGTTCATAACTTTTAAATAAAAAAGCAGATCTGAAAATTATTTCTGTGGCATTAGAATTTTTTTTTCTTCTGGTTCCATGAAATAAGATAAGGCTCAATCTTTCAGCAGATAATATTCAGGTGCACATGAAGAGTGAACTGCGTATCCTCGCCGTCTGTTATGTTTTCTAATCATTTGTATCATATGCAAACATGCAGACATTCAAGCTGGAGTTATGTTTGTTAGCATTTCATCAACCGTGCATCAAAAACCTTGAGACATTTATTATTGTACAACAGCCCCTGAAAATTCCTCCTCCGTGCCTTTCTTCCTGTGTGTTTAGTAAACTGGAAGAAATTGAAAAGCTTAGTATAAATAAGCAAGCCTTTATTAAAAATGTAATAACCCCTGGATCCAGCTGCTGCAGACTTCCCTGTATTGTCAAAGTAAAACGTGAAACGCACAAAGCTGAAGTGTCTGGCAGCCTGACAGATGTTGAGGACCACTCCCCTCCAGCGGTAACACAACTGGGAGGTGTCTGTCTGTCTGTCCCGAGGCAAACTGCCACAATAACCCATCCATCCAAAACACGCGCAACACCCAGTGGTCCAAGAGTTCACGAGCGCCTGCATGGTCCCGAGCAGCTACAGAGGAGTGGAAACGTTTTTGGGGAAGTTTTCAGCGCAACTTTTATTTTAATGTTTTTATTTTTTCTCTTCAATACGCGTTCCTGTCGGGCTTTTTTTTTTTTTTGTGCGTCGGAGAAAACTTTCATGACGGAAGGAGACGCGCATCTCTGATTTGTGCGGCACGTGCGGACGCGGAGTTGAGCGCGCGAGCAGGTGAGATCAAAGGCACAACAACAAAGCTGTTATCCAGACGTTATTCGGTAGTGTGCGCCATTTAAACCGCCGTGGAGGGTCTTAACATGCACTTTCTTTTTACTGTAATCGCCAGAGTTAATGTAGATATTATCCAGCTGGAAGTTGTTAAAGGGAGAAGCAAAGCGACACAGCAACATCCTTCTTGTTTTCATGTGGTTTCAGCAGCTTTTATAGCTGTTTTATGGTTTTGGCACTTGCTGGTTGCTACTTTGAAATGCAAAGCTTTCCATCTGTCCATCTATTCATATTTGACATTTCTTTAAAATACCTACCAGCATTAACAAAATGCAATTTTTAAAACTATCCATGGGTAACTAACCAAGTATTATAATGAAGGCAAAAAGCTGATGTTTTTTTTTTAAATCAAGAGTTGTAAAAATGATTTATTAGTGCTGCTTATTAAAACAGAGCATTGTGTTTATCTTGGCACAAGCTTTCCACAGTGAATCTTTTAATATTACATTTAATATAAATCAATTCAAATCTTTAAATAAACCATTTAGATTTGCATTTTGAAATATATATATATTTACTATTTTACTTAGAACCGTAAGAAGAAAAGACCTAATAAGGCTAACGTTGGTTAGTCAACTCCAAATACCCTCAAATTTAATAGTGCATTGATGTAAAACCTTCACATACCAGCACCATTTAATTGTTAAGACAATGTGCTTAACTAAACTTGTTTTTTTTTTAGAGGGTGAGGGATGATTTTTTTCTCCAATAAACTGATGTGTGTATATTTCAGGGGTTCTTTATGAAGTTTTATGAGAAAAAAGGCAGTACAGTTATTTATCTGTCTGCGCTTGCACATCAAACAGACTCGGTGACTCACTTCCCTCTCACTGTGTCTCTGAAGGTTTATCTGACTCCTTAGAAGGCGCTTTGGCTTGAAGGGAGTGCTGTGAGTGGAGGAACTGATGAAGTGAAGCAGCTAAAGGAAGAGTTTGCTGTTGCGAGTATTGATTTCACTGGTTGTGTTTCAGAGCGTGCGGGCAGCATGACTGTGGTTTTAAAGGATTTCTGCTTCAGGCCGCAGGAAGACAACTCCTCTTTTCATATATTTTTCCTTTCTCTTCTCCACAGTGGTTACATGTTACGCCACTGACGTCACAAGAGTACTGCACTGTTGAATGACTAGTATGACTTTTCTATTGACAAAAGACAATTTGTAATATTTTCTTTCCTTTAAGTCATCAATTCAAACTGCATGCTAACAAGGAGGCTTCTGTTTAAGTTTATACTTCCTTGATTTGTAGCTAATAGCATGTCTGGACCAATTCAAAAACATCAGATGTGCTTTAATTCCTGTTCCCTCTGACATCATCCTGATCATGATGAGACTTTTTTTTTTTCCTGGAGGGTGATGAAAAAATAACGAAAAATGAAATAGTGCTTTCTCTCCACTCACTAAGTTCTGCGGGTTAATAAAATATGCCATGTGTGTTTGCCTTACCTAATAAGGTTAGGTTTTTAAAATCACTCAGTGCAGGCAAATATAGCTTCTAGGCTACTTTTACTGCAGTGAGGATGATAAAGTGTGTTTAAAGAGACCCCAATAACGGTTAGGTGCCAATGACTTGCAGGCAGACAGCTTGGCTGGGTTTGCTGATCCTTAAACTCTGTGGTGTCTCTGTATCCTCGGTCAGCGAATTAACTTTCCTGAGGCTTATGTGGACGTTCACTGCTCTCCTTTGTCTGAGAAATAACCCCCAAGCTGGATCTCAAGTTTGTAGACACCAGTTAAGTCCTTCAGAGGAGTTGTTGCATAGCAAGCATGGGTGTATCCCTGGATCCTGAGGCTAAGAGGGGACAAGTGAGTGCACTTCTTTCTGTCAGTCACTGTTTTCATGCCCTAATGCTCCCATCTTTCCGCCTCAGGATGGTATTACCTTACGTGCACACGGATGTCCAAATGCACAGACACTCATACACATTCAGACTTGCATGCTCAGGTCATGCCTCATTCAGGATGTGTCAAGTTACTGGATTTGTTATCAGTTACCATGTTTATCTGGACGCCATCTGCTCGGTTGCTTCAATGATCTGATCAGCACCGATGACTTTGTTTCCATTTCGTGTCTTTTTTTTTTTTTTTTCGTTTCCATCTTCCCTATTGAAGAGTGGAAGCACAGATCAAGTATCACCCCCCCCCCCCACCACCACCACCTCCACCCCTTTCCTTAACCCTTTTGTGTAACAGCAGACGTGAGCTGGCATTGATCCAGACTGGAAAATTAAACTACAAAATCAAGCATAGAGTGTGTCATCATAGTTTGTCTTTGCTGTATTTAGTTACCATACTGCAATATTCTCTTACGCAAAGCTTTGAGATTTCAGCCACGAGATGGACAAAACATTGACAGACACGGCCTCGGGGTTGGAATTCTATCCAGATCATTTCCTTTCAGACAGACTCTTCAGTCAGTGGGGAAAAAACAGATTTCCCCAGGAAAATACTCACACCTACCTGTTCGCCAGTTTCATAAGCAGTGTTTCCTAGAAACCTTTAATCATGATGGGATATTTTTTATTTTATTTATGCTAATGTAATTAATATTTTTCTGTGGTGCAAACGTGTGTCAGAAATAAAATAACTTTACTAGTAGATACTGTGCATTCTTGAGTCAATACTCAACTTTGGTCTTTTATGAGAGAGAGGATCACATCGTTCAATTATTTATTGGATTTATTGGTAAAATAATATGGCTGTAGAAAATCCTTAAAGCAAAGGATCAAATAATTCCATAGCTAAAGAGAGAAATTAAAATTATTTACTTAAAAAGAGGATGCTGATGCATTCATTCAGTATTTAACATTAATTTCATTTAATGCAGTGTTTTCAACTTCAACTTTTTTTTCTTTCAAATTGATGAATAACTTGGTGTAAGGGTATATTCCAGTAATTTAATTAAATTTGTATTTATTGAGACTAAACAATATATTCCCAAGCGATATGAGTAGACATACAGTGTTCCATTCAAATAATATGAAGCGCCTTACAGTTCTTTTTATGACTCGGTGAGACAGTTAGGAGAAAACATCATTGAATTGTAGAAAAACTATTGCCAAAAAGCTCTTACTATAATTGTATGTGGTTTAGATTTTGATCTTCCGTTGTAGATCACGTTTCACATTTTTGATTGTTTTCTGTCTACGGTAATTATTGACAGACTTAAACCCAGTTAGCTTTGCTGAATGTGTTTGTCTTTTTTTGACAAAACCAAAATAAATCTCACATCCTTTAGATCAAATTTATGAACAGTCTTTGGATGGATGTTTTCACTTGACTCCTTTAGCTTTTTATTTAAAGTGAAATGAAACACAATATTTTCTAAAATAAACAGTTCATTTAAAGTGCTCACAAAAAAGAGTTTAATTTTATTTATGGACAATGTTTTTCACTATCACAGTAAATTTA